AGGTGTATATTTGAAGCATATAAAAAATATATTTTCTTACTTCAAATAGTGTCCGTGGATAAGTTTAAGTTTTATTAATAAACACACAGCTCTATGTACACTACCAGTTCTATTTTATAAGCTAAATCAGTACTTTTTCAACCATGAGGTAAATTAATGTGCACTACAAGTTCAAGTTAATATCCGTGTTATTTTCCGGCACACTCTTAGGAAGGAATTGATTAATGTGTGAAGTTTAAGACTTATCTGTTAATTAAGTGTAACTCACGTGCCACCACAGAATTCTACAGACGTTACTGATCCTGCAGGACCTGTAGGATCCGACAGAAGCTCTTCTACTGGAATACCAATAGATACCACTCGGACTGGATCCGGATAGGTCTTGAAAATGATCAAAAAATTTACTTTCATTAAATAGTTAACACAAAATAATTAAAACAACTCCCTAAGAGTTAACTCTCAAGGATGACATACAACTAATGCAACATTAACCACATTGAAATACAGCACAAAATATGAAATAATTTATCAGATTTATCAAAACACTTTTACACCTGTTTTCTGTAGATTTCTACTATGTATTCACACTCAAATAAATTTTTTTTAAATGTTAGAAAATATACATACTTCATTAAACACGGCATGAAGTCCTTGGATAGCCTTGGCCTGTGGTAGTGAGGAGTCTTTAGCATACACAGGTTCATTTTTGTTGATCATATTGTTGGCGATTGTTTCAGTTTCTTGAACTTGGCTCACTTTCATTGCTCCCTGCAATGAAATTGAAAAAAACGAATACTGACCATAAAAAACAGCTGTGCAGGCGAAGAAGATATTGTCTTTACATTTTATTTCGTAACAATCACCAGAATTTAATTTTGGTGATATTACTATAAATCCTGTTGTTAAATGACAGCTGTCTAACCTGTGTACGGTGATAATTGTTCACAAAATGTTTATAACCAATAAAGCTTCACATTTAAATACAGATAAAACTCGAGTAAAAGAAAATGTTTGTATATAAATGTTTTAACTGTGTCTGTTGAAAACACATCAACTATAAAAACATCATAAAAAAATTAGATATTAGAAATAACTTTTTTTTTAAAACATTCTTACCAGTTGTACATAGTAAAACGTTTGTTTGTTTTATATTCACAACGTTTCACTAGGTTTATCTGGAATCATCAGGTGAGACTGAGGTTAACAGAAATTAACTTAGAAAGAGCAATAACTTGAGAATCTATAACAATACTAATCTACAAGCATGTGACTAAGCAATTGCAAACTTAATTAAATATTTGCCAGTATATTCACAATAAGAACTGAAGACATTACTATCTCAATTCACTTTATAAACCAATCTTTGGGTTTTTCGACATGTTAATGACATTTTATCAGCCTTCGATAACCTTAATCTTATTTAAGAGTTTTCCCTCAAACATGAAATTCACATGGAAAAAAAAAAGTTGTTGACAAATAGTTATTTTTAAATATTCTTGTTAAAAAGGCAAACACAGGCTTCCAAACCTCTATTTCGTAAGAACACTCACACTTGACTTTACATTTCTTGGAATTCCCTTTCTAAACAATGCCAAAAACTAGGCATATTACAAATCATAAGTTCCCACACCGATTGGTTCATAAAAGAAAATAACAACATTAGAATTCAGTTTTGTGTACAAAAAAAATTATTTTCTACTGCTGTTAATAAGAAAATAAACCTTTGAAAATAAGCCACAGAAGATGATTCTTCCATTAGATATTCTCATTTCTTGTATTTTACCGCTCATCCCAGACTTTTTTTTGCTATCAAAAAATCTGGTTAAAAACAGTCAGAGAGTAGAAAATTGACATTAAAGTACAATTTACATTTTTACTTGGATAAAAAGTTAAATCAACTGGTATTCAAAAGCTAATGATATTTCAAGCAATGTGTTTGTAATAGAATGTTCAGCTTGCAAAAACTACTCACTTGCATAAACTTTTAAGATTTGGAATACATCTCGGATCGATAAAATTTTGATTCTTCTACAGTAAATATCCTCAGCAAAGACGACAATATTAATGAACAAAAAATAAGGACCAATTAATAAAACATAACTTTCATATAAACAAATAAAAGGGTATTCATTTATATCTGTTTTAATCAATCCCCCTTTTCTCTTACATCTAAACAAATTTCAGTACTTAGACTCAGGCCAAGAAGTTGTATTTACTATACCTAAATTTTACAGTTCATTGATAAATTACTTTATTAAGTTTGCAATTGTTAATCACGTGCCTTGTAGATTAGTATTGTTATAGAATCTCGTCTGACGATACCAGATAAACCTGATGAAACGACGTGAAAAAATAAGCAAAGGTTTTACTACATACAACCAGTAAAACACGACAAGAAACAACACGACCTAACAAACCTTGTTGGTGAAATCAAACCGAAGACGATCTGGAGCAACCAATGATCCCCTCTGGTCTGCTTCTGATGAAATAACTTGTCTTAAAGCGAAGTTAAGTATATGGGTTCCAGTGTGGTTGTTCATCACCAGTTTTCTTCTTTCCTGGTAAGAACATTAAATCAAATACAAGAACTGCGAGTGTCAAAACTAATACAAACTTGTGTTCTTTCAAAACTAAACTTTAATAAAATGTCACAACTTCTATAATATAACATTTAACAACAATGTTGGTCATTAAAATGAGTTGTTGTTTTTTACATTTTAAAAATTCTAATAACCAGTTTAAATCACTCTTTAATACTGTTTATAATTAATCCAAATTCTTCCAGTGAGAGCATTAGAACTTTGATTAAAATATACATTTTAATTCAAATTTATTTATTTTGATAAAAGCTAATACTCCATGCAACATTCTATATAACACACAATGTGAAAACGACCAGTTTGCTCAGAAATCACCATAATAATTTTAGATGCGACAATATTGTATGTTTATTATGGTGATCATTTTGCTAGATATATGAAAGATAAAATTTTGATAGATTAAAACTTGTCAGTGATAAAAATCCTCAGCACTAATAAACTGTACAAACTTTACTGATAAAACAAAATGTAACAGTTCACTTACACATCATTACCATTGTAAATTTTGTTTCAAATTCCTTTTGCACCAAATAAGTTGTTAGCTAACAAGCAACGAGTCACTCTGTTCTTTAGTTTTTACACCAAGTTTTTTTTATACAAAGCTGAAAGATGGTTTGGTAAATGTTACGATTTGATACAGTGCATCAACAGAAGATTAATTTGCATGCTAAATCAACTCCCTCGTTTTATAATTATCAGCAAAGCTACATGAGGGCTATCTGCGCTAGCCGTCCCTAAATTATCAGTGAAAGACTAGAGGAAAGACAGCTAGTCATCATCACTGACTTACAACTCCTCGGCTACTCTTTTACCAACTAACAGTGGGATTGACCGTCACATTATAACACTCCCACGGCTGAAAGGGCATACATGTTTGGCGGGACGGGGGATTCAAACACACGACCCTCAGATAGCGAGTCGAGCGCCCTAACCACCTAGCCATGCCAGGCCTAATTATCAGTTTTATTAATTGTTAAGTATATTTTATACTAAACAGCCAATCCAATGTGGTCAATATTGGGTGGTAAGAGATGTACGGTGTGTGTGTGTATATTTATATACAGAAATATGTAACTGCAGTGTAACATTCCATCATTTGTACAGTAGTGTCATTTATCTGTTCTGCCCTAGTTATTTGTTTGACAAACATATGCAGATTATCATGTTTATATAATAACTAGTAGTTTCAGAATTTTTTACAGCCAAATATTTTATTCAACTAAATAAGGAATAGGCTAAAAAATAATGAAATAATTATGACAACAGTGACCTAAAACAAAGTCTTCGGCTACATGTTTTTATTTTTAAGTCCCTAGCTTGGAGAATATATGACTATTTAAATACAAAACGTGAAATTTTTGCCATAAAATTTTTAACAACTTACTTAGTTTTTTGGCAATTTATAAATCTGTTAGTAAAAGTTTTAGCCAGCAACAAAAAAATAAAATTACCATACAAAGTGAATGTGCAGATACTTACCTCATCTATAAACATTTTGAGTTGGTCTCCTACTCGAATGTTTCCACAAACTGTTCCCATATGAACTATATAACCACCTTGTAACTGCACGTCTTTCACCAGAACCTCAGTGTCCTATCAATTGTACAGAACAGTATATACAGCTTTGTTACATCTTTCTTCAGAACCTCAGTGTCGTATCATATAGTAGATGTATGTTAAGTGGACAGAACGTTAAACACGACCTCGTTTCTCTAACAATTGGTACAGTTCCCTATATTTCACTATATCATGTCCATTTTATCTGTTACATTTTCTACGTTCATATAATGAAATCAACCATCATCTTACGTCATCTCTAAACGTTTACGAGTTAAAGGAAAGAAAAATATGTGATGACGATCTGCTACATCCAATTCCAGTTAGATGTTTTGATCAATACCAGGGCTCATCAGACTGACAAAATATTAGTTTAGGTGATATATATATATCTTGATATATACTAGAAAAGGAAGTGAATTTAATTACTTTCAAACTTATCTAAGTAATTTACAAATCAGAACATTTAAAGTAAGGATTAATACCATAATACTATATTTAACACTGATTATTTTATTACTACTTTATTTGAATTAATTCTACTTCAATTTTCATTTTCAAGAAACAGCAATCTCTTTGTTCCCAGACAGGTAAAAAAAAAATCACAGCATGAATGGGAAAAATAACTACATTAGTATTTTTATAACTTACGAGTGAATGAAATGAATAATGAACAGACTATTAAAGTCAAGGAATGTTCTAAGTTACTATATTATACTATATTGAAGGAAATATTTTTAGTAAACAGGAAATTACTGACTGCTAGTATAAAAATAAACTTTGCATGACTCAAATTTATTTCCAAGGTCAAAGTTATGAATAATAGTATTTCCAGAGAAGTAGGCTTAAGTACAATATACATCAAGTCTTGTATTTGTACCTTTTTATAATTAAAAACTGTTTATTACAATACCTCATCTCCTTCTTTCACTAAAAAGCCGGTGTCATATATCTGACCTCCAGATTCAGCATAGAAACATGTCTGGTCACATATAACACCACATTCTTGGCCATTCTTCACTTCATTCACAAAAGTTTTATTGCATCGAAGAGCCAACACCGTTCCTGAACACTCCTCAAATTCTGTGGTGAAAGTAAAAAAAAAAAACAAACAAACTTAAAAAAGGCCTAAACCTCAAAAGCTAATATAATGTAAAAGCATGAAAATTACTTCCAAACCAAATCAATGTTTAACCCTTTCCAGCCTCATGGAACTATACTGACACTTGTGCATTTACATTCTTAAAAGATAATAACTGAATAGTAGTGCTGTATCAGAGAAAAAAAAAAAACACTTCAAACACGCAGCATGTTAACAATCAAATCTTTCTGAACCTACATTATTATTATTATTTTTTATTAATTTACAATTAATACAGAAATAAAAATAAATCTCAAAATGTATACTGTAACGGCATGAATACTATATTTAGTTATATCCAAATAAAATCAATTTAATGTTTAAAATTCGGTTTAGAAAAAAAAAGTTACTTACTGTACTGTGCATTTTTCTCATCACTAACAGCACTATAATTGTATTTCGGAAGGTCGTTGGTGGTTGGAACTTGTTTCTGCTGAAGCTCGGAGATGGCATGAACATCAAGTTTAACACTATCATCTTGTCCTTCTCCTCGTACTTGAGAAGCAAGCTAAACAAAAAATTAATTTGTCTGCAAACAAGTTTAACACTATCATCTTGTCCTTCTCCTCGTACTTGAGAAGCAAGCTAAACAAAAAATTAATTTGTCTGCAAACAAGTTTAACACTTATACATCTTGTCCTTTCTACCTTACGTACTTGAAGAAAGCAAGCTAAACAAAAAATTAATTT